GTACACATTTGAGGCCGAGTCGACCTAGGGGAGGCCCAGGACCAGTTCATAGATGATCGTCACTTGGTCTTGGCCGTGAGCGGGTTTAAAACTCGCAGTGCAGCGCGCTTACCGCTACACCACCGCTCCCCATCAACACTGTACACACACATAACAACACACAGCGCCTAATCAGCTGTTTTGAACCACGGCACGTGTGGCGATGTTGGGTCGTTATAGGGAAGTGGCTTCGGCCACGAAGTTCGCAAAACGTGTAACGCGCGTCCACCAAACACTCGACTAATCTCGTGATTGCTCTCCGCACGAATGATTGTGGCATCAGGACACCATTTGATGAACTAACAAAGCACGTCAAGTTATGCAGCAATTAGGGTTATACATACATGTAAATTTTGATTCATGTTGTTTTTTTCTGACTTTATATGAACGAAAAGACACAAATTCGCCCGTTATCTCATTTAAAATATGTACATTTCAAAATATCACTGTCCTGGTCACAAAAGCAAAGTTTGTGGGGAATGATAGCCATTTTCTGTACTTGTGAGGCATAAGCAATTAGGAAATAACACTTCCTACCCAGGAACAAAAAAATAATTGTTACACAGTGTAATAGATGTATGTACGTTGAACTTCTTTCACACAGTACGTAGCCAACCGCGCTAATCTGAGATGCGGGGGGAAGAACAAGAAACTAAACACAAAATGTAGTTCTAAATAAATTCCTTTTTTTTCTATCCCATCCACCTTCAATAATCAGTGCATATTATCTGTAGTGACCTGTGGAGCAGACACATGGACATTGAAAACGGCAATGGGATACAAGTTGAAGGGTGCAAAGAAGCCTGGAGTGGAGTATCATCACATTTCCAGTTAATTTTGTTCAACCAGGTGGCGATAACTCAAGAAACCAGGATGAGTCTCGTTTGCATGTTTTCTCAAGAAAGCCTCACGGAGTCTCAAGACCTTTTTTCAGGAGGGTCCCTACTGAGTGTTTTTCGCAGGATGGGAGGCGATGCTTAGTGGAATCCCAGTTGCATAACTTGCGGGAATTTTTTTTATTGCATTTGTTATGTTTGGCCAATACCAATTACTGCGTGTTTTAATTGCTTCGTATAATTGAGAGGAAAGCGGAGATCCAGAGGAAAGCCCGTGCCTGACAGGGGAAGAGCATACAAACCAAGGGTGGCACAGTCGGGTTTTTTTACAATGGGGTTTAATTGTCTTTTAATATTAAACCCGATCACTGGAGATTGGGAGAAATCCAGTTAAATACTGGTAGGAACGAAGTGGACCAGCCTACAATAGATTATTTCGTCCGTCCGTCCGTCCGATGTCCGATTAAGTGTAGCAACATCGCCCCCTACTGAAAACACTTGGCATGACCCTACAAAAACCTTTAGACTCTGTGAGGCTTTCCTGGCTAAACACGTGTAACATTCCCTTACAATTCCCTGAGATAGCTTTTAATTAAAACTTTTAAATTAAATAAAAAAACTCACAGCGCCCTAAAGCCTACAGCTAGGCCTAAAGCCTAGAACTAGGCCTCAAAGTCTCCCTTCGTATCGTACCCCCGCGTGTGTGAAAGGGAGTTAATGTTTAACAATGTTACATTCCCTGATGTTTTAAAATAGAAACATTTACATTTAAAGCTTTTACATTAATAATTAAAACATTTAAATTATACATTAATAATGAAAATATTTAAATTAGAAATTAAGTCACAGCGCCCTAAAGCCTACAGCTAGGCCTAAAGCCTAGAACTAGGCCTCAAAATCTCCCTTCGGATCGTCCGATTAGGTGTAGCAACATCGCCCCCTACTGCAAACACTTGGCAGGACCCTACAAAAAACCTTTAGACTCAGTGGGGCTTTCCTGGCTAAACAGTGTCATAATACATTATGTCTATATTCTTTGGTTATTCGTTCCTACCAGCCCACCCCGCAGGGTCCTGTTTGGTTCTAATTTCAGAACCGCACTTCTCAACGATGGGCTTCATCCATTCCAAGCTAAGGAACTCACTGGCGGCGCCCACGATTGTGGAGAAGCTCGTGTTCATCAAGACCAACCTGCCCGCCGCATTCTACGACTACCCCGTGCCCGACGGCCCCCCGAGTACGATAGCAGCACCGACGAGGAAGCAGCTTAAGCCTTGGATCAGAGTTTCGTATTCATTGAACCAGGTTTTAATTCCCCGAAATCGGGTTTAATTGCATTAAAGAAAAAACCCGATGCCTGCCGCTGGAAAAATCGGGTTTTTTCCACCCATGATACAAACACGTGCTTGCCACTATGAGTCACGAGAGTGAACCACTGCAAGCGCCACTCTGCTCACTGGTGACGCCTATTGACGAATGGCTGAATTGCAACGCGTATCAGAATCACTACACGATGTAACACGACTTTTGTCCCTAGGTAGGAAGTGTCTTTATTGCTTATGCCTAAAAAGTACATAAAATGGCTATTATTCCGCAGAAGCTATTATTCCACAGAAACGTTGCGTTTGTGACCAGGACTTTATGTGAAGGAATGACGCAAATGCACACGTTTTCTCATTGAAAATAGGTACATTTCAAAATATCACTGTCCTGGTCACAAAAGCAAAGTTTGTGGGGAGTAGCCATTTTCTGTACTTTTGAGGCATAAGCAATTAGGATATAACACTTACTTCACAGGAACAAAAATTATGTCACATAGTGTTTAAAAATGACAGATTTTTTTTACAGTGTTACCATCAGCACGGTTGACCTGCATAGGTCGTACGGTGCGTCGTTAGGGGCCGTCCATGAATGACGTCACGCACCTTGGAGGGGGGGGAGGGGGGGGGCAGACATTTGTGACGATGTGTGACGAGGGGGGGGGGGGTGAGAAATGTGAAGTCACATCAAAATGCGCAACTTTAAATAAATATAGACAACACGTTCTACTTAATTAAATAGACTTTTTAATACGTTTCTCCTACATCAGAGTGCAGCGCCACATTAAATACGCACTACAATGACAATAGTTTAAAGCGATTTGAAGCATGTTTTATTTTTAGGGAGGGGGCAGAACTTTGTGACGTCATATTTGAGGGGGGGGGGTCTGACTTTTTGTGACGCCGTGTGACGATGGGGGGGGGGGGATAAAAAATATTTCAAAATCGCGTGACGTCATTTATGGACGGCCCCTTATCACCTCGAGTCACCGGTGTGTTCCACTCAGAAATGATCCCAGCGCAATGAAAAATGCACAAAATGTACCGTAGACGTTCGAACTTGGACAAAATGTGTCCCTTGACACCGGCACACAGCGGACTCCTCACACGAATGGCATCGGGAGGTCTTAAACGTCCCATGTTTGAACGAGAGGACGCAAAGTGTGCATTACTGTTTGGTTCTTTCGGTAAAGTCACGTAGATGAAAAATTAAAATAATAAAATGAAAATAACTAAATTCATTTTATTTTATTATTTTTATATTTCATCTACGTGACTTTACCGAAAGAACCAGAGTATGGATCCTTGCAGTCACGAAAACTTCAAATCTAGAATGTATTACTGTTGTTACACTTGCAGTGTGTGACTTTACGGAGAGACGAGGAGCATAGGATGAGGGAGCATAGAAGTACAGTACTGGAGAGCACAATGGATGTCGTAATACTTTCAGTGTCACGTCAGTAGGCAGGCTTGCTTGAACCAACACTGAACGGGTCAATGGAATGCATTTAGAATTGTGGTTTTTCGCTGATTTGAGACGAAATATAATTCAGTTCAGTTTATTTATTAATTGACGAACGTCCAAAGATTACGCCTGTAAATATTTTCAAAGAATAATTTACGCCCGCACCAATGCTAATGGGATGACCGCTTGGACATTTTAAACGACTTATTTTGCTTTACATGTATTATTCCACGCCGTCGTGAATTCTACGCGACGGCCATAACAGAGTACACGTACTTACTCTGTTTTTTTTCGGTAAAGTCACGTAGGTAAAAAAATAAAATGAATGAAAACTAAATTAAATCACGACGTTTCGGGCGCAACACAAGCTTCCTTCTTCAGGTGGGAACAACGTAGCGAAAGCACAACCCCACCTGAAGAAGGACGCTTGTGTTGCGCCCGAAACGTCGTGATTTAATTTATTTGTTTTCATTTATTTAATTTTTTACCTACGTGACTTTACCGAAAAAACAAAGAGTATGAATCCTTGCATTCACGAAAACTTCAAATCTAGAAGTACACGTACTTATTCAGTGTTTTATATTATCTGTGTTTACTATTATCTGTGTTTAATATTATCTGCGTTTAATATTATCTCTGTGTTTTATATTATCTCTGTGTTTATATTATCTCTGTGTTACATATTATATCTGTGTTATATATTATCTGTGTTTTACATTATCTCCGTGTTTTATATTATCTCTGTGTTACATTATCTCTGTGTTTAATATTATACTGCATTGCGGAAACGTGAAGAGGTCGTGGCAGCTACAGGAGGTCTTCATCCAGCAGTGGATTTACCACGGCTGACGATGACGACACCGATGCGGTGTATGACGCATGCGGATCAGCTCCATCCATCAATTCTAGATTTGAAGCTTTCGTGACTGCAAGGATTCATATTCTTAGGTTTTTTTCGGTAAAGTCACGTAGGTAAAACATCAAAATTAATAAAAATAAAATGCAATTAAGATCACGACGTTTCGGAGGCAACACAAGTCTCCGTCATCAGGTGGGACCGTCACAGCCGAATTAGCTGTATCAAGTGAGGCAATGATTCAAGATGTAATCCCTTATAAGCAAGTTGAAGGGGGGGAGGAGAGGGGGGGGAGCTTATCAGAATGTGGTAGTCATCAGTTGATCGAGCAGCGGATCGAGCATGACGATGATGACACCGATGACGCACCTCGCCGTGGGGGGGGGTGAGGGGGGGATGGGGAGGGTGAGGGGGGGTGAGGGGGGGTGGGGGTGAGGGGGGGGGGTATTGGTCTGTGACGTCACGTCCGCTTGCGACATTTTTTTTTCTCCTCCCCCGAGCCGATTTCATTTCCTGCGGGGCGCGGCGCAGCCCTCTTCACACTCCCCTCCCTCGCTCGCTCTCTCTCACTCACTCGCCTTTGTATCTCCCTCGTGAGCCACCACCACCACCACCATCGCATCATCGCCAACCACCATCGACGTCGCATTCCCGCCTTTGTCGTGCGTGCGATCCCTTTCGACCATTAACATCGACAACAACAATTCTCCATTTCGGTCCGTTTCCATTTTCTTCGCCGCCGCCGCCTCATTTCCATTTCGTTCCAACCTCCCTCACCATGAGCGACGAGTCAAAGTCTCTGCTCGACCACGACGACGGCGGCGTCGTCGACGTTTCGACCTCTCGTCCAGGAGCAATGGCAGACGGAGCAGCAGCAGCAGCAACGACGACACCAACGCCGCCGTCAGCCAAGCATGGCGGACACGGAGCCCCGCTCCCCGACTCCACCCGAGTCATCCCCGCCTGCTCCTCTTCCTCCTGCTCCGCCGCTCACGCAGGTAACGAGGAGCCTCGAGAGAGAAGGGCAAGTTGCCCCTTCTTCCTTCACCCTCTTGCTGCACCGCTCCCTGTTTTTCAACGCGCGGTGGAACGATGCGATCCCAACGTGGCCCACCAACCCCGCTGTTGCTGTGCGCGTTAGGCCGATGCCTTGTCATCCCTTAAAGCCAAGGTTCATTATTCGTAACCCATTGCCAACCCCTAAATATCCCCCCTCTTTGGAATCCACAATCCCAACGAAACCCCACTTGTATGTTTCTTAGCCGCCCTCCTGACATCTCTTTAAAAATTCCATCGGGGGGGTTCAATGTAACCAATTAACCGTGTCCCCTCATCCCCTTAATTCCTCGTAAGCCACGATCCGTCTGCTGCTGGCTTGCCAACCGCGTAAGTCATCCCGTTGGGATGCAATGCAGCAGTGGAGCCATGCGGTGTCCCCCCACGCGGTCCGCTCTACCCTACCGCCCAGGGGGCCCACCTCTCTCTTTACTCTCTTGGGACCTCGTATCCCCAATGAGATTCCTTATTTTTCGCGTCTTATCCCCTTAAGTCGGGTAGCCCCCCCTTTATGTATCCTCTTGTGTGCCCCCCTTATCCACCCTGGCCTCCATGATGGGTGGTGACCACGTGTGGTGGACCCAGAACTGCTATTGTAGTTGTCTAATCTTTAAGTGATAATTTTATTTATTAATTATCAGTATTAATCTGTCTTTTTCTTCCACGCGGGGATCAACTGAAATCCGGATTTTTACAAACTCGACCCAAAAAACACTGAATTAATTGACGCAAATTATGAATGTTCGACTATTACACTGTAATCTTAAAAAAAAAATCAGTCCTACATTTTAAAAGGGGAGATTCGTGCATGCATTCATGTTAATGGGAGGCGGTTTAAATATTTAGTAAAATAAACTAAATAATCCTATTATTAGTTAAAATAAATATAATTACCATATGTCCTGACTGTATAGGCCCACCCTGTATTTCCCCAAGGTCTCCATTTGATAAAATATGATTTTGGTTTGAATGCACTTAACTAATCGTACATGCAGCGCATCAATGTGTAAATTTTCTTTGTGTTAGTGTGTAGTAGTAGGCCTACGTTTCTCCATGTAAGGTTATGTATCCCATCGTTTGCTTCTCAATCCATGCCTATAGTTCTCTAAGTCTGGGGGGCGGGTTCTGTGTGTGTGGTCATTCTATGGCAGTGGTTCTTTTTCACCTGGGGGTGCACGCATACCCTAGAGGTGCGAGATGCCCTTTCTGGGGGTGCAAGACATGGCCTGATTTTGTTTAAAAGGTAAATCATCGAACACAAATTAAGCACGGGCGCGTAAGTACAACTACCTTGTTTCATCAAACCCTTTGCATTTATTAACAGATTTTTTTTTTTTACAATTGAGAACCAAAGCAGGTGCAAGGCTGCATTAAAGGCTAAGAACCACTGTGCTATACGGTGCAGCGAATAAAACTATGTTAAGGTCTGTGCGTGTCTAGGCTTATGGGTCTCCGTGTAAGTCTATGGGTTCTTTATGCAAGTACATCTGGGTCACATTGTAAGTCTGTGCGTCTAGGCAGTTGTGTGTTACAGTAAGTCTGGATCTCTCTGTGAGGTGAAGATTTAAGCACGTGTAAGCTGGTTTGCTGTACCTCTTTAATACCAGATCTCTCTTACAAAAGACCAGAGGTGGGACAAAGTCATTGTCATGCAAGTCCAAGTCGAGTCTGAAGTCATCAAATTCATGACTCGAGTCTGACTCGAGTCCAAGTCACATGACTCGAGTCCACACCTCAGAGGTGGGACAAAGTCATTGTCATGCAAGTCCAAGTCGAGTCTGAAGTCATCAAATTCATGACTCGAGTCTGACTCGAGTCCAAGTCACATGACTCGAGTCCACACCTCAGAGGTGGGACAAAGTCATTGTCATGCAAGTCCAAGTCGAGTCTGAAGTCATCAAATTCATGACTCGAGTCTGACTCGAGTCCAAGTCACATGACTCGAGTCCACACCTCAGAGGTGGGACAAAGTCATTGTCATGCAAGTCCAAGTCGAGTCTGAAGTCATCAAATTCAGGACTCGAGTCTGACTCGAGTCCAAGTCACATGACTCGAGTCCACACCTCTGCAAAAGACCACTGTGCAGGTTGTAGATGGTGCTTGCGGGGGTGTTCACGTTATAGGCAGTGCGGTGAACTCCATTGTTGTACTCTACTTGTATGTTCCCGGCCCCTCCCCTCCGTACCTTTGACCTTCACACGGACCACACGGACCAGCGTGAAGAAGTATGCTCCAGCATTCCCCGTCACCCTCGGCACAGTGCCTGCACGCCAACATCCGGCAGTGGATTTTGGTGTATGGTGCAACGTATAATAATGTAATTATTATCCGTAATTATTATATATTATACGTTGTATTGCCATGCGTTCGTTTGAACCCTGCAGCCGCAAGAGTTTTCTAGATTCCCCACGTGTAAAAAAATGGAATTTGCGATAATTCGGTGAATCACCAGCGGAGTGAATCATTACCCCTCTTCCACGCGCGAGCGAGTACATTCTTCCAGACTTTGTACAACGAGTGAGCAGTTGCACCATAATTCCGCAGCCAGGCGTATCACCCCAGGCCCGTCGACAAGACCACGCCGCCCCAGTACGCGCGTCCTTCCACGTGTCCCACTCATATCCCGGATCAATCTTCAGGTTGTACCCGCCGTCCTCGAAGAGCCTTAATGGACTCGCTTCTGCCGACATCTCTCTAATCTCACTGTACTCACCACCACGCACTCTCCTATCTCTCCCCTTTCATCTCACTCGACTCTCCTCCACACCCTTGCCCAACCAACCCAAGGCTTTCTGTCAAAGCCCCCCCCCCCCCACCAGTCAACTTTTGCTCATTGGGAGGCTGCTCTGTCACCTCTGCTGCTCCCATGATCTAAAACACCCCGATGCACCCCCCCCCCCCCAGCAGTTGGTGCTGGTGGCTTCTTGTGCCTCTATTCAAGTCCAGTTTCCCCCCTTTGTCTTTCTTTCCTCTGCCCATGCTTTCTGGCTGTTCCCTATTTGCTCTGTAAAAATACAATCCACTTTCTGTCCAGCATCTTGAGACTGTTGCGTTTAGATGTGCGATTCGCTATTCGTCTGCCCCAACAGGATCACCTTGTGTCCAACCACCCCCTCCATCCTGTCCGATCTTGAGCTTTCTTCTTCCCGTCACTGCACCCACCACCGCCACCACGCCCTTCCTTCAAGTCGTCAAGTAGCACCATTCATCTGCCTTTGTGTTCTCTTTCCCAGCAACCTTCCTCCAGAACTTCCTTCGCCAAGCTTTCACCTCTGAGAAATATCCCCCCACCTTTCCCCACCAATCTGCATTTTGCCCCCTTTTCTGGGTTATTATAATGCGACTTCGCCTCCTTAACCTGCACCACAGCCGCCTAATTTGTCTAGTTTCCTCCATTCCATGCTGGAACTCGCATCTCAAGACCCGCCAGTCGTCTTCGCGTATTTTTCTCCTGTCCGAGTCGCAAAACATTTTTTTTGGGCAGCGTGTAGGACACGACACCGCGTACCAGAATTCATAATTCTGCGTTGGCAGGGACAGTGGGGTGCCAAAGCACACACAACCGAGAACTGAACACATTCTTCACTAACAGCGCCCTGAAAAGGAAAGGAATAAATAGACGTGGTTTCTGGCAATAGGCCCGATTCACAGCAGGGAGATACTAAGGGGTTATTTTGACATCACGTGAACACAAATCGCATTGCCCTTCTTTCTATTTGACCGATTTTAGTGGGATGAGTTTGCGTTTTATCCGCACGATTCGATGGCACTTCCTTGAGCCTGTTCAACAAACGATGTTCCCCTTCCCGCCCCCCCCCCCCAGTGCCGCATGGTGCAGTATCGTGGCCTTGCCAACATTGCAGGCTCTCTAGCGCGAAACTGCCGAGCCGGCATTTAAACGCCTTACCGTGGGCCGCAGCGGCTGGCAGCTCTCCGCATCGGGGCGGGTATTAACTCTGCACGCAAGCGCGTGCGAGCGTAGATGCCACAGTGCAACGTCTTTAACGTTACACGTGCGGTCCTGGGCCTCCGGAACTGCACTGTGGAGGAAATCTTAGCAAGTCACAGATTTTAAAAAATAAATTTTAGTAAAAAAAAATGAACATTGCATAAGTACACCGGCACTGGGATGAGAATGGTGGCTGGAGTGGGGGTCCTGGCCACGCCAAGGCTTAACGTTCACTTTGCCAGCCTTCAAAGGCCGCCTCAAAAGTCTTGTGTCTACACAATCCGTGTAGATAGATTGCACGGGAGGGAGAGAAAGAGGGTTTTTTTAAGCATTGTACACCGACTGTTGGGGCAAATGCTGTTAGTGAACGCCTATCAAGGCCCCCGGCACTTTTGGGTGGTCTTCGTAAGGTGCAGTGGTTCTCGCTCTACACTGCGAAAGCGACGATCCCAAGTTCCGTTCCCTACCACGCCCAATGGCAGTGGAGAGTGATCTCCCCGCAGCAGTGTTTTGGGCCCTCCTCGAAGACTGACGCAGCCTGGTGGTGGGCGAGTATAATATCGGCTCTTGGGAGACGATGGCGGCCGGGCGTGGTGCTGGCCTCACGACACTCTTCGTGAACTGCGCCAGCCTTAACACGTGCTCGCTTAACAGCATTTTCCCTTCAACGGTCCATGAATAGTCCTCTGGGGAACTTTTGTCTTTGTTATTTCATGTTTGTGTTATGTTTCATGAACGAGTCCAGGCAGCCAAAACATCAACGCTATTACCGTTAAGTGTCCAATTATGTTTTCTGTCTCCCGTACTTATGCAACACTCGCACACATACACACGTATAATTATACATTTAATTACATTTTTTTCCCCTCGACTATATTGCCATCGTACTATCCTTGTCGCAGGTCACGTGGTGCCACCTCGTGGTCTGCGTCAGGCTGAAGTGCACTGATTGTTCCGCTGGCACTCGTGTTCACACGTCGTCCTGCTCCGCTGCCACACAAAGCGCTGCTTTTAACGGCCGTCGGCGACGAGACGGCTCGCATCGTACAGGGCGATCCATTTATAGATACCCCCCTACAAATAGTATTGAGAAATTCCGATGGAAAAATCGACCTTTTATTTTTACTGCCCTCTACATCTCCCCCCCCCCCCCCCCACAAATCTCAATTCACTTATTAAATACGTTTCCTCTCTGTGCGATACAGATCCATAGCTTGACCAGAATTTCCATCGGCATTTGAGAAAACGGCAAGTAAGTGGGCCGGGTCTTTCAAGATGCCCAGTGGGTTATCTATAAATGTATCACTCTGTGTATTGCCCTCCCCCACCCCCCTCCCATGTCTGAAACGGTGTCAACGGCACCGCGCCGTGCAGAGCGACGCTTGGTGTAGCTGAGCAACGCCACCGTTGTCGTCGGATACATGCCAGTGAGTGGCACGACCTTTGCCCGATGATTTGATGCGTGTACATGCTTGCGATAACTGAACCAAACTGGCAGCCGTTATGCAGCAGTAGTCAAAAAGGACTTCTGCCCCAATCCTGTAAAGTCTTGATTTTTTTTCCTTCGTAAATTGTTTCGTTTTTTATCACCTTCGCCCAAGTTTTATTCTCGCTGTGCTATCGCCGGCACATCACGTGACACAACCAGACGTGCGTTCCGAACTCCGGAACGGTTTTGCCCCGCCATGTTCGAGAAGGCCCGCAGAGGGAGCCCTCGTAGAACTACTTCCAAGATCCTTCAAAAGTGATGTTTTTTTTATCCACTTTAGCGGAGTGCTGCTGCTGCTGCAACGTTCCCACGCACCCTGGCCCAGACGGGGCTGATGGTTGTGCGGCGGTCAAATCAATAATTCATTAGCAGCGCTGGGATTTAGCCAAGTTAAGCTCTCAACCAAACGTAACGACAATGTGTGCGCGTGTTTTGTGCAGTTGGTCCACTGGGCTGAGGCGCCACCGACTCTACGCTTCAGAGTCCGGATTAATCGACGGCGGCCGAAACCCGGCTGCTAACCCACAGACCGCTGGCGGTGCTGATTTGGCGTCAATGACCCCTGAACCCCCACACACATGGCCACTTCTCTACAGTCGCCACATTCGTTTTGTTTTTTTCACAGGCGGACGATCAGATTGTGGAGGAGACCTCGGCAGCGTGTGCACACTTGTTCAAGAGGAACTTTGCTCCCGCGCCGGCTAGGCTAAGCACATTTAACGCTCCCGCGCCTTCGGTTTGTTCAGCAATGAATGCCGCTGGGCGTTTCCTCTTTTTTTTGGTTGTTTCTCCACGATGTGCATTTCAGGCACTCAAAGATCCCCTGGGCAACGACCTCGTAGGAGATGGAGCGATGATATCGACTCGCGTCCATTACCTTGGTGGATAATCGCATGGCCGCACTGTGGGAGGTGCTGGAGAGGCTTGGGAAAACCTACATCCCGGAGTGGATTGACCAAGGCTGGTGACGATTATGATGATGAAAAATGCGAAGGCATTATGGGTATAAATCATAAACTGGTATATCTCACTTGGGCATGGCATGTTGGCAAAATTGTAAAGTTTAATTCAGATATAAATGAGTTGTCCACCTGCTTGATGAGTGAGAATTTTAAGACCTCTTGTCACTGTGCTGCTGGATGAGGGCCTCCCCCATGCCGTTTTGCCCCATGGGGGATGGTTGACCATACCCTTCACCATGCTGGTCACCACGGGTGGCCGTAAGGGGGGGGGGGGTGGCGTCAGAATGTTTATTGTGTTTATGCCCGTAGTTTATTGTGCCAATACCTGTACCATGACTGGCACTGATAAAGGAGGAATGCTTGTAATCTACCACGGGGTCTGAAGTGCTCGGACAAACTGACTTTCCGTCCACGCTAGTCTGGTGATGGTGCATACACTTTGATGTATGCGCTCAAACCATCCCGACTCGTTCCATAAATGAGCCCTCTTTTCAAAATGACACTGCACGTTTATTATTATTTTAATGGTCTTGTCGTTCTTGACTGACGTTGCCAATTTTGTGACGCTGTGCCCCTCGTCACAGGGCTGTTCTAATATATTTTTTTACCTCCTTAGAGCGTCGTTTGGATGAGACGGGAGCTCTCGTGCTCCCTCCATGCCGCCGCGATTTTATAAAGCGATGTAAAAATGACGCAAGATTTTTATCTCGCGTGGCTGCTTGCTTTGCTTTTCCCCCCCCCCACCACCTCCCGGCAGCCGGCATGCACGTGGCAATGTGGGAAGAGAGCTTTGTACAGTGCACTGTAATCAGCCGACCGCACCCCGTGCCCAACCACCTGAGGTGCCGTTCGTTGTGTGACGATTGATGTGACGTTTTTGGCAAGGCCGGGCCGGCTGGCTGGCAAGCGCCGATACCTGGAGGCAAATTTGTTGGACGCAAACGGGCCGACTATTTTGGTCTGCTGACGGGGTTCGTTTCCCCATTGATTGGCGGCCTAATTGTCCTTGCATGGGTGCAAGGTTAGAATAATAGTTGACACGCTTCGCTGGGTTTTATAGTTTTTGCTTTTTTAAACAAGGAAGCCTGTGTGTGTGCGTGCCTGCATAAGGCCTTCATAGGTGCTCGCTCTAACAGCACTTGCCCCAACAATCTGTTAAAGGCTACATGGGGGATCTTTTTGTCTTGTCTTTGTATGATGTTGCTGCAATATGTTGTGTACAGCACATTCTCGTGGCTCTCACTCGCCGGTGCCATTACAATTGCAGTGCAGTTCGGATCGGCGCGGCGTCCAAAGGCAACCGCACCTCGGCATGCTGCGCAAAAAGACATTTGGGATGCACATCGTGGGAAAAAATGAGACGTATTTGTGCAATATGTAAGTATTGTTTTTGAGAAGAGACAGGCATAGGTAGAGCAGAGAGTTTTTGGACCTAGGCTTGGAGAGGACGGGAGGGTCAAAAGCACAGGTGGTTGGTGGGAGAGCTCCAAACTTGCAGAGCAGCAGAGGAGAAGGAGCGACCTCTTGCCGAGCAAAGATTGACCCGTGCCTTAGACACCAGTCAATCTTGTTGGATGAGGGGGTGCGCGGAGGGGGGAGCAGAGTGCGATGAGTGAGGTTAGGCAGGGGCGCGTCTATTGAAGACCTTGAAAGACGGTGGGTGGTGAGTGCCAACATCAACATTTTGTCTGGCGTTCCAATTGGGAGCCAACGACTGGATGGTAGTCTCGGATTTGATGTGGTCTCGTTTACGCCGGGTCATGGGGGGGGGGGTTGGAGTGAGGAGTCTGATTGACAGCGCGCGTTTTTGGATGGTCCTCTGAATGCTCCGGTTTTGACGTCGCCGTTCAAAGCCCGTCCGCGTGCGTGTGTCCGAGCGAGCAGCAGGCCTTTCCCCGCCGTTTCGATCCGCAACGCCCCCCTCTGTGATGGATTGATCCGTTCGATCGTCTGTCGTCGTCGGCGTTGCTGTGGGCGCAGTGCGATGTGTATATTTTTTTTACAGCATTGTATGTTTGTTTTCTCCAATCTGCAGGTTATGCCTGCCTAGCGCAGTGGCTCAAACCGCAAGGTAACGTCGTCGACGATCTTCTTTAGAAAAAAAAACACCCCCAAGAGATCTGAGCACGGGTTAATTACCCCCCCCCCCCCCCCCACATTGAATCTGTTCACTGTCGGTGGGAAGGGTGGCTCGGTGATGATCACACTAATCCAATCCTCACCTCATCCTTGATATTAACGACTCGCTGTAATCCTGATTAGCTCGCGTCTCTCACCAATGTGCACTGTTCGGTCGAGCACAATCTCCGCTTCTCCCGCGGTTTCTTTTTCTTTCGAACGTGTTCGTAGATCCCTGACTGCTCTCTCTTTGTCGCCCTGCCAATTCAAGTTGTTTCTGATGCTTTCCTTTCCCAATTGTTGTTTCGTGTACTCATGCTTATAATCGAACCGCAAAGCGTCGTGTAGATAATCGTAATAATGTATGTACGTTGAGCTTCTCTCGCGCCGCACGTAGCCAACCGTGCTAATCGGAGGTGCTGGGAAGGACAACAAACTAAATACAAATAATTATAATTACAACCATGCCCAGTGCACATTTGTGTTCGCTTTGATTAGTCCATTCCACCGTCGTAGCGTATTAGGCCCTAACGATCAAGGCTTGTAGATGTCAGTCATGATTGTTAGCATGTTCAAGTGATCGAACGTGATTTTGGAATCCCCCAAATCGATTCCCAGAGACTCAAAAATTCCACGTGAATTTCTTGAGTGACAGCTGACGTGCAATCGCTTTTGTGATGATGACGGTGATGACAATCGTGATGATTCAAAGTGATCTGCTGCTCAAGTGATAGCGTTGAGGCGTTTGCTTGTATCCTATGTACAGCCCTGAGCCAGGTTTGGAAATTTGACTTGTACGTGGGGGAGCGGTGGCAAGTCTCTCCAAAGAACAACCACTGCCGTTGACTTACCCACAAAGTGGTACTCATTTTATGAACCCTCGGAGGAATGATGGGCTGAGTCCCCGAAAGCAGGATTAGAAACTCGCAACCTTCCGGTTGCTGATTTTTTTATACGACGATTCAAAGTGATCTGGTTGTGAGTTTCTCGCCCTGCTGCTGCTGAGCCACTATTTTTAGCGGCTGAAATTTTGACCCCGACCGAGAGAGGGAGAAAAAAAACTTTTAAAAAATACGTGGTGTTCGCACAAGGAGAGAGGCTTTAGTGACCTTAAGTGGCGACTCGGCTGTGCGGGAACGCCTCGAGCGCATGACCGATTTACGACTCTAGAGGAATGCGATCAGACCTCCCAACGCCGAAATACCGCTCGCCCGAATCGCGGTGGGGGGGAAAAAATGATCTAATCCGCCCGTTTGCTGTTCGGGCCACTTCACCGTCGGTAACCACACCCGCACGCACTGGCCGTTTGGAAAGACCTTTACTGGGTCTCTGGAGTTCACTCACACGGCCCATCTACCCCCCCCTCCCATCCAACCCGATCGATGGGTCGATTTGCGACTCCGCGTTTGTGTTGCGTGTTTGCCATTGGCGGTAAAATTGGCGTTTCGAAGTTTAAAGTCGAGCCGAGCGTGAACCCGCTTGCGCTTTGAAGTCGGCAGCGGCGGTTGCGCGCGGCGCGCACACACGTCAAGTGGGCTTTCTCACCTCGCTGGCTCACGGCCACGGAACGATATCCCGGTGAACGAAACGACATCTTCGTTTCACCACGCCCGCCGCTGCTCGCAACGATGGAACGCGGCTTGCCCGTTGGGACCAATTCATGCTTTCATGGCACACTCCAGATGCACGGGTTCTCGCGGGAAGGGCTACGTCAGCTATTTATTAATTCAGTGTGGCGAGATGTTATTTCCGTCGCCTGGTACGCAGGAGGGGTCGTGGGTTCGATCCCGACCCTGACGCACGCCTGTAGAGTTTGCGTGTGCTCCCCGTGGTCGTGTGGAATTTTCTCCCAGGTCCTCCGGTTTTTCCCCCTCCACATTTAGAATCGAGTATTTGGCTGCTAAACATTTCCACGCGTTAAGCCAACTTCGTGGAGCTATACTTTGTGGCCTGGACGCTTCTGATAGAGAGCTATATAGCTCGTTGGACCTTACCTGCTAAAATAAAAATAGTTTAATTTGAAACTTCCCCTCCACGTTTAGAATCAACACGCTGTTAAGATTATTTGGCTGGTATAAATTTCTGCATGATAAGCCAATTCTCGTTGAGTTTCGATACGAAGCTCAGTGGGCCTGAGCTGGCACCATCACCACACTAGCGGCCTAGTGGAGACGCAGACGCCCTTTAAGTGGCCGTGCCACCTCGCCAACAGCCAAGCGTGGTGCCTTTCAGAATAATATTGCCATGGACGCTGTCGTGCGTGCTCCCTATCCGTTCAGCTTTAGCTTTTTGTCTTCAGTTGCCCCTCCCCGCACCCACCTCCGATGAGCACGGTTGGCTACGTACGGTGCGAAAGAAGTTCAACACACGACATAGAAACAGCTTTTCCCTCCCCCCCCCCCCCCCCCCGAGGCTGGCCTTCAGCCATCGGACTTGGTCGTGGACATAAGAGCCGTTGTGTAATGCCTTCCGCGAGAAGAAATGTGTTCCTAATGAGTTGCACTCGCTTGACAACAAGGTTTTCTTAGAGCCACGCTGTTGGCAAGCGCCCTCCTATCCGCAGCCCCTTCATCTGCTACACCTATTGACTGGCCCCTAGTCGATCGTTGGGAATGACTATTATCCGAATTCCGCCATTTCACAGCTTTCTGTGGATACGAGGAGTCGCCCGAATAGTGGCGGGAATATTCATCATCCTGCGAGGCCACGCTCATTCACCGATAACGAGTCGTCCGGAAGTGGTCTCCCAGAAGTGCAAAACATTCGTCATGATACGAAGGGTCGCGCAGATGTGTCGACCAAAATCCTATCGTGAGCTTCGACCCGCGTGCAACTGAGAAGTAAGGCTCTGTTTTGCGGATGGTAGGATCTGCCGACAGCAACCCCCTTCACACGTCAATGCAGATATGGGGGTGTCACTTAAATGTTCACGAGATGGCCACAGCCCCCACTCCACAACTCCCCACCCCCGGGCCGTGTGGTAGCTTCGTCCGGCTTGGCATCCAGATCCCCCGTGGGGTGCGGCGACATCCCCCCCTCTCCTCCCCCCCCACTGGCAAATTGGAACAATTAAAGCGAATGTGGCGGCGGTGGTGGCGCGGTGAGAGAGTAAACAAACACGTTTATCTATTTTTGTTATTTTTGAGCCAACGACCGCACCCTTTGGACTAATTTGCGGCGGTGACGCCATCCGTTGCCCGGGTCATGCCGTCGTCCAGAGAAGAGAGGCCCGTGCGATCGTTTGCGACCTGGTCCCCCCAACCGACCTACATCACGCGCACGTGGGCACACGAGGGCACGTCGATGAGCTGTGGGCGGACGTGCCGAGTGCTGTAGCCGGCCGTTGTCGCACCGCCTCCCGGCCGATAGAAGGGCCGGACGTGTCGTCGTCGGCGACGTCCCAGCGCAAATGGATGGCCACGATTGCCAGGAAGGGTGGAGAGTCGTTCCTTAGACGAGCCGAGGATTCGTTGGAGCTGCGGTGGAGCGATGTTAGCTTTTAGCCTGGTATACGGGAAGTCGTGGGTTCGATCCTGTATATTTGGAGTTTGCCTGCCTCTCTCCCCTTGGTCGCGTGGATCTTTCTCTGGGTCCTCCGGTTTTTCCCTCCACATTTATAAACATGCGTTTAGAGTATTTGGCTGTCGTAAAATTTCTAAAAGATAAGCCACTTCGTTGAGATATCATTTGTGGCCAGGTTGCTTCTGAAAAATAAGCTACATAGCTCAGTGGGCCTCAACCTAGTAAAATAAAAATAGATTTTAGTTTATAGTTTTAGCTTTCACGAGGGCAGTGCTGCCCAGAATTTCCCGGAGGGGCCCAGAGGTGAAGGCCTGGGGCATAATGCCACCACGTGTTGTATGTCCCAGCTCGAGGGCATCGTCGGCGCAAAGGTACGGACGGCGCCTCCGATTAAGCACGGTTGGCTGCGCGCAATGCGAGAAGTTCAACGTGCATCCACGCGCGCAGCGCCTGCGGCGTGCATGGGATGCGGCTCCAAAGCCCGCCGGCGTGCCTGGGGAAGGAGGGACGCGTGGCTCGCGACCATCGCTCGCTCGCACCGGAGCAGCGCGGGGGTGTCCGCCAAACGGACGGAGCCAGTCGAGGGAGAACGAGGGCGGAGAGAGATAACGGGTTCGCTCAGAGTGGCGGTGGCCACGGCCACGCGAGGAAACCTCATCAAGCACAAACCCTTCCCGCCGGGGGTCTTCGTGCGAGCGCGCGTCTCTGGCGCGAGGCTGCGCCATCACGGCACGAATCTTCAACGAGATTGGGCCGGCGCGTGGTGACGGATCTTCGCAGCGAGCGAGCCCGTCGATGCGACGGGACGGTGGCGATTTGCGAGCCGCGGCCCATTTAGTTGTTGCGGCTTGGGATTTTTTGTTTGTTTTTCCCTTCCGCCGCGTCGAGAAAGCCGAGACATTAATAATGCACGCTGAACAAGGTGTAGGGCGCACTCTCGCCGGCGATCGTTTGGCCGCCCGCCAGCTCACCCCGCCGGCTCGCGCCGGAAGTCAACGCGTTATTAACGGCCGCACTTTCACATCGGCGGTGCGTTGGGGGTTCGGAAAAGGCGAATTTAGCATGTGTTAGCATGCGTCATTTTGCACACGACCTGCCACAGAGAAATGTAAATTCACATGGTTTTTGAAAATATATATTCTGAGCCGTAATTTTTGCCCACAATTTAGTCCGACACCAAAATGTTATGTTTCCGCGGTCTGTACGTGACCGGACTGAGACAGCAAACTGACGGCACTTGACAACCCGGTATAATCGCAACGCGAGCCTTACGCCTCTGTGAGTCTATGGCTCCGTCGGTCATTGGTGAGCATGCCGAGACCATTGTCTGGCTACACTTGAACCACGGTTAATCGCCTACAACCGTAACCCGGATTCAAACCAAGAGTATCGGCGGTGCGAGCTCGGCGCTCTGACCTCTGACCCCCCGCCCCCCATACCCCCGTTCATGAGCCTTCGATCCACGTGGCGACGTCACGATCCCCCGGAACGCGACGCAGCCCCACGTTACGTTGCGTGCGAGCCCCCCCCCCCCTCTCCCAGTGTAGGATCAGCGCAACAGTTTCCCAACGTTAGCGACGCGTAAACTTGCTCGCTGCGTGCATTTGACTATTGTTACTTGGCCAGTCGCGTAACCGCCAAGTCATAACAACCGCGGTGGCGGCGGCAACGGTGGGAGCGGCCTTCATCTCGGTCGTTCAACCCGTGGCACCTTGGTAGAATAAAAATAAACTCGTTTAAAAAAGTTTATTTAACGATTTTATTAACAACTTCGTTTAACTCACGGTCGAGAAGTACGTCAATGGCGACGCCTGCTTCTTGGGCGAGCCGATTCCACAGTTTAGGGACCGCGGCGTTTTTGACCTACACAAAAATATACATAAATAATAAGGCGTCCATACAAAATGTAAATTGCTTTAAAGTAGCGAATTAATTTATTAATTGATGCCGATTTTGATACAGGCATGCATTGTCACCGGATCTGAGTACGTGTGCAAAATGTGGAATTGATTGGACAACGAGAAGTGGGCGGCATTTTGATGACAAGATTTGACCGACAAACAGAGGAATCAAGTAAAACCGTTGAAAAAATAGCTTGTAGTTTAGTTAAAAAACTCTCTGATTCCAGTTTCTCTTGACCCCCCCCCCAAACTCCCTCTCCACCACGCCGCCCGCAGTCCTGGACCTGCTCTACTGGCGTGACATCAAGAAGTCGGCAGCCGTGTTTGGCGGGAGCCTCCTGCTGCTGCTGTCGCTCACGCAGTTCAGCGTGGTGAGCGTGCTCGCGTACCTCACCCTGGCCGTGCTCTCCGTCACCATCAGCTACCGCGTCTACAAGTCCGTGCTGCAGGCCGTGCAGAAGACCGAGGATGGACATCCCTTCCGGTGAGATTGGGAGGGCGGTGGGTTGATTGGGACGGGGGGGGTGGCCTACGCCCGGTTACTATGACAACGTTGACGGCTGCCATGCGCCGTTGTATGCGTGCATGTTGAACTTCTTTCGCGCCGTACGTTGCAAACCGTGCTAAAATCTGGAGGTGTCGGTAACTGACGGCGATGTCCCGATGGTGCCGGGCTTGGGCGCATTTTGAGGAGGCCGTGGGAAGCGTCGGGAAGGCTCCGCCGGTCGAAGGTCGCGAGACAGACCCAGGTGTTACGGGCTAACTGCCCGAGACGACTGGCACGCACCTGCGCAAAGACAAAGATCCCCTATTTATATCCAGTATGGTGCACCTATAAGGTGGTTTGGCCATCGTCACACCCAGCTACTTTGTGTCCCCCAGTGGTAAAATTTGCAGACCTTAGGTGCTCCTTTTAAGGGGGAGGCCTAGAACTTGCACCGCGAGCTTTCGCGATTGATAAACACACCATGCAGGGAGCGACGATTCGTTTTGAACTCGTGATTTTGGGTGGTGCCTCTGTGTTCCACGTTACGGAGCGAGTGCTGAGTCGCGCTATGATAGGAATCTTGCACGCGCGAGTGTGTGTGCGTTGCGTTGAATGCCACGCACCGTTACAGTTAGCATCGCCGCTCGGGAGACAAAGGCGGCCGGGCGTGGTGCTGGCCAACCACACACCCTCGTGTGCCTTGCCGACCTTCGTAGGTGCTGCTCGCTTAACAGCACTTGCCCCCAAAAGTCTGAAGGCTATAACGGGGGAACTTTGTCTTTGTTCCACACGTCGTCACAGTACACCGATTGCACGTCGACAGTAAGAAGATTCTACGACCCTTTTGTCAATCTGCTGCTGGATGAGGGCCTCCCCCATGCTGTGCAGGTTGTGGAGGTTATTCAGCCATACTTCCCCACCAACCGCGACCGGTCCGTCGATTCTCTCTTGTGACTCTGCGCGCATCGCGGTGCCTTGGCGGCGTGGGGTAGCGGACGTTGACCGCGATTGCTGCTGCGCCTTGCCACCTGCAGGGAGTACCTGGAGGCGGACCTGGCCATGTCTCCCGAGACGGCCCAGAAGTACGTGGACACGGCGCTGGCGCACGTCAACTGCCAGCTGCGCCGCCTGCGCCGCCTCTTCCTGGTGCACGACCTCGTCGACTCCATCAAGGTGCCCGGCGCGAACGTCACATCGAGCCGTCCGGCATCACCCGGCACCACCAAGCGCCACACCGGATGACGGCAATAGCGTGGAAGCATGAGAGCGCACCGCTAAACCGGTTTACCCGTTCGTCTTCGGTTCTGCCTTTCGTCGTCATCGTTAGCAGTACCAAATCGCGCTACTCAAGCTATCTGTATCATCGTTGGTAGCAGTCATATAGCACCGTGAACAATGTCAAGGTTCACGGTGATCATCGTCGTGGTAGCCAGGTCGCTGTGGTACCAACCGCGATCCTGGGTTCAGAGTGCGTTGTCAAGCGTAGAAAGGTGATGGTCTCAGCCCGACTCTCAGTGGCTGTTACCAAAAGACCACCATGTTCATCTTGGTTCTATATACGAGTTGGATTCAACAAGAATGACAACGTCGGCTGGATAAACATTACCTTGGTGGACTAAATGTCATTACAAGGGATCCCCAGAGGTAGCTCTGCTATATCTACTTCAGTGGGCTGTTCTCTCACACGAATGACCACACTGTTGTGCGAGAGTTCCAAATAAAACGTCGGCGTCAGCCATGGTCAGTGCACTGCTGAATGAAGGCTTCCCAAAGCCGATGCGATTTTGAACGATCCCCCCTCTCCCGCCCCAGGCCACCGTGTCGATAGCAACAATTGGGAACAAAATGTAGACATCGATCTTGGCTCTAAGAGCCTCTCCGGACAGAGCTGAGAGCATCGGACGTGCAAACGTGGTGGTCACGTGGCATGCAGGGCATGATGGGAGCCGCGCCTTTCTGATTATTTACGAGCAAGCATTTGCGTAACATTACTTGTCGGAAAATACAGCTGTCTGCGTGACGTTTTTAGCAGCGGGCGCTGCGCATGGCAAAGACAAAGTTCCCCCCCCCCCCCCCCGTGTAGCCTGAACAGACTGTTGGGGAAAGTGCTGTTAGCGAGTCGCACCTGTGAAGGCCGGCACGGCACACGAGGGGGTGGGTGGCCAGCACCCGTGCCAGGCCGCCTTTGTCTCCCGAGTGGCGATGTTTACACACCGCACCGGGTACTCGTTTGAGGCCGAGTCGACCGAGGGGAGGCCCAGGACCGGTCCAGATAATCGGATAACCGTCACCGATGTTGGCCATGAGCGGGGGAATTCGAACTCGGGTCGCCGGTTTCGTAGCGCCAACACTACGCTACTGCTCCCCACACTGCGCCGGGTGAGCACGTGGGAACGCGCACGCACTGTGCGGCTGTATGCCCGTTGCCCGGCCACCGTAAATCACTTGGGGGGCCCCCCGTGATTCCGCGGGGCGGGAGGGGTGCCAGCACGCGCGTCTGGGCGGCTGCCACTTTGGTGTCGTGCCCGCATGTGGCGAGCCTTGCAATTGAGCCGCCCCAATTTTTTTTATCCTGGCGTGGAAGTCGCCGTCCCCCCCCCCCCCCCCTCGTTTAAACTAAAACGAAACTATTTTTAATTTACCAGGTAAGGCCCACTGAGCTGTGTAGCTTCGTTGAGCAAGTGAAAGCTCAACGAAGTGGCCGATCATCATGTGGAAATGCATAGCAGTCAAATCCTTTATAAACGCACGTTAGTTTTAAATGTCGAGGGTAAAAAAAAAGAGGACCCGGAGAAAAATCCACGTGACCACGGGGTGGGAGAGCGACACGCAAACTCCAAATATACAGCAGGCGTCATGAATGGGATCGAACCTACGACCTGCATACCAGGCAATCTGATATGCAGGTCGTGGGTTCATAATAACAATAATTTTGCTGTGAACGTTTGAGCCGAGGTTGAGTTTGCTGCCATTCGCGTTTGGCAGGGTGAGGAGGAGGGAGGGGGGTGGTGGAGGTGGAGGTGGTGCGAGGTGGAGGTGGGGGGGGGTACGTGCTTTGATGGACGGGTGTTCTCCGTTTTCTCCAGTTCGCCGTTGTGCTGTGGCTGCTCACCTACGTGGGTGCCCTCTTCAACGGCCTGACCATCGTCATCCTCGGTAAGGCGGAAGTCCGATCCCGCGTGGAGTGGGGGAAAACTAAAAAAAATTACTTACAGCCTCTTGTTAAATCTGTTGCTCGGATGATAGTACGTGAATGTTACCTTACCGTGCTCTCCTTATAATCTGGAGAATATCGTATTTGCATTTATGTCCTGTACAAGGCAGTGTTGATGTGAGTAGTGTGCCGCGATTTTCGTAACGTCCTTTTTCGCCTTTTCTGCGTTCCCAGCTTTGATCGGCGCGTTCACAGTCCCCATGGTCTATGAGAAGTACCAGGTACGTGTGAATTGATATTCTTGAACCCGAGACGGTTTTATATGACTGTGGCACGGATGTGCTTCTGCCCTCGTCTGCCCACGATTGCATCACCGATAAAAAAAAAAAATTTTATGAAGGCTGGCCAGCCGGCTGGGGTGGCTTTTTGAGGTCAGAGCGCCGAGCTGCGGGACTGCGCACTGAGTTATCCTGAGTTCGACTCCAGACAGCTGCTTGTGATTAAGCCGGCACCTGCCCGAGTCATAGATGATTGCACGGGAAAAAAAGCCGTTATTTAAAATTAGTTTTTCCACTTAATTTGGTAGATTCCCCCCCCCCCCCCTGCTCCAAGCCCTAATCCAGCAGTGGATTGTCAAAGGGGCAAGGACATGGAATTGGAGGTCGGGGTGCCACGGTGGCGAGACGTTAACTACCTCGTCTGGTATACAGGAAGTCGTGGGTTCGATCCCGACCCTGATGCCTGTATATTTGGAGTTTGCGTGTGTCTCTCACCCCGTGGTTGCGTAGATTTTTCTCCTATTCCTCTGGTTGTTTTCCCTCCAGATTATTTTGCTGCTATACATTTTCACGTGATAAGCCGCTTTGTTGACCTATCATTTGTGGCTGAAAATGATTCGTACAGCTCAGTGGGATCTTACCTGGTAAAATAAAAATAGTTTAGTTTAATTTACGTGTTTTTTATTTCTGCCGTTGCCTGCGTCTTTTATTGGGTTTACGTGGCCACTGTGCGCTAATCCGTTTGTGTCGTCAACCCCACACCCGCCCTCTCGTCCCTCCCCCCCAGGTTCAGATCGACCAACATGTGGGGCTGGTGCGGAAGCACGTCGGCGCGGTCGTTGAAAAGTGAGTCGCTCGCTCGCCATATCGCGACGGGCACGGGCCCTGCTCACCCCGCACGTAGATCCCCGCCCGTGGGTGTTGCCGCGGCGGCGAGATGGTAACTACCTCGCCTGGTATACAGGGGGTCGTGGGTTCGATCCCGACCCTTTGATGCCTGTCGTATATTTGGAGTTTGCGGTGTCTTTCTCCCAGTGGTAGCGTGGATTTTTCTGAGTCCTCCCCCTGTTTTTCCCCTCTATTTAGAACCGACATGCGTTTAGAGTATTTGGCTGATATAAATCTTAATTTGTCGCCTGGTTGCTTCTGAAAGAGCTGTAGAGCTCAGTGGGCCTTACCTGGTAAAATAAAAAAAAAATTTAAACAGTGGTCAGCACATACTGGCTCAGGTGCTGGCAGTCATCTCAGTCGGTCAACCCATGGCACCTGGGTCTATCCCGTGACCTCCTGCCAGCGAGCCTTCGACACGTCGCGTGGCCTCAAAGTGCGCAAAGCCTGGCACAAGCGCCGTGATGACGTTTCCGCCACTTCATGGCAAATGTCGATTCGAAAAAAAACAATAAAATAACTATCGGTACCAAGGCTCCCTCAAGGGCATGCCGGAGGGCATGTGGCACAGTTTTGTGCCAGCTATCCTAGAGTGCGGTCGTGTCGCTACAGTTCTCTGCGGTGAGTACAATGTCTTTAAAAACAGCGGCGCTACGCCTCTCTAAATAAGCCGCTCGTGCGTTCCGAGATTCAGCGGTGAACGGGACCCCCACCCTGTAACCTGCAGACGTCTCTCAGCGGGAAAGGGTTAATACCTTAATATTCCTGCATCCTAAGAGGTGCAGGCCGCTGCATGCAAAACGCCCGTACCCGTTGCCGACATGCTGCAGTTTATTTGCAGTCTGCTCTTAGGCGAGCGTAATGTTACACGCCGGCGCAGATGATTGATGGTGGATTCAGGACATCGTGAATAGACCTCCCGTGTCTTTAAATACGGTGCCCGACGTGCACTGTAGCGTTCTCACGATGACAATTCAACACGACGTTAATGCTCGTAGCTGGATGAAGGCCACCCCATGTCTTGTCCACCCCGTGGGGATTTTCACTGGCCATACTTCGCCGCGCGGGTTGTGGCGAAGGGCGAGCGGGGAGTAGCAACCGGTTCTAGGTGCCGCACTCGCCAGCGGTGTCGTTGCCCCCGTGGCCAGGAATCCAAACTCTCGTTTCCGGCTCCGTAGTGCAGCTTCCAAACTGCTGTTGCCCACCGCTTGCTACAAATTTGCACGTGATAAGCCGCTTCGTTGAGCTGTCTTGTGTGGCCAGGTCGCTTCTGAAAAAGAAGTTCATAACTCAGTGGGCCCTAACCTGGTAAAATACAAATATAGTTTTTTTGTTATTTCCTTACCGTTTCCTATACTTTGCACTCCTATCGTGTTTTTGTATTGTTTGCTGCTGTAACGTTCTTACCCGCCTCTAATGGACATCTTTAAAAGAAATAAAAAAAATTATAGCTTGTCGGATTCCTCCAGTATAAAGCAATATCCTGATGCGAATCTGACATGTTTGCGAATGCGTCGGTCATCGGCAGAATGTTGCTCCCCGCTTTTGTGTCCTTGATGCGATGATGAGATGTAAGTGAAATTCACGATTGCGTCTCTCCCCCTCTCTCTTTATCATCTTTTGCAGAGTTCAAGCTATGATCCCAGGAGCCAAGCGAAAGGCCGAGTAAAGCTGAAACTAAGAAAAGCGCACATCCGCAGCAGATCGTAGTTGTCTTCTACCGCGCAGCAGTGAGCTTTTAAAACAACAAAAGTCAATAAAATAAATCGGCAATGAGTACAATTAATGAAATAAGCAGAGTGGCGTGACACGAAAGAAGCGCAGCGTGGCTCTTTGTGTGCGCGCAAATTTAGACCCCCCCACTCTCCCCCCCCCCCCCGTCCTCCCCGTGGATTTTGTGAGCAACTTAAAAAGCCGGCGAAGTCGGTCTGTGTGTAAAGATTCCTTTGGTGGCGTCTGTGTCCTTGCCGTGGCAGGGCACGGGCAAGTCTCCGTGTGTGGCACATTTAAAACGCTCTTCTCACCAGATTACACTTTTTTTTCTCCCCCCCCCCCCCCCCCCCCCCCCCCGTTTGTGTTTTTGTTTTGCCTTATGAGAATTGTAGCTATCGAGCTTGTGTGCGTGCGCGCGCACGTGTGGGTAACGTTGCATGCCTCTCTAGCGTAGGTATAGGGTAGGTAGGTCGGTTGCAGCACGTACACAGAAGACGATCGCGCTTAACTTTAGCAATCGGCCAGAGCAGAGGGTCCATTCCCGGACAGTCATTTCAGGCGCCGTGGCAAAGACCGCCCGCACAACCGCTTTGCCCACAATCTGAGCGAGTCGTTGCGGCGGCGGCGACGACGTTGAACGGCGCGTTGTCCGGGCTATCCGCGACCAACCGAGAAGAGACCCGTAGCATGCAGATTGCGCGTCGTGACGGAATGCGTCAAATTGGCTCCACATTGCCGTAGGAGATCATTTGAATGCTTTGAGTGTCTGCTGCAGGCAACCGGTTGCACGGATGTCCCACGTGTTAGTGGTCCGGTTGCACGCAACCAAGCATGCGCAACCGATTGCTTGGCGGGGGTGGGGGGGGTGTGGGACGCGGCCCAAGAGCTTTGCTATCAAAGCGGCAGTGTGTGATTAGTAAAAATCCGGCGGCTCGTGTTTTTCTGTTATTCGCCCGTCGTGATCGTATCCCCCCTCCCCACCGCTGTGGTTAGTGCCATGAGTCGTGACCACTAGGCTTAGAACGGTAGATTTATTAAGGCTTTAAACACCGTGTGAAACTCCGCTAGCTTCTGATTTGATGTTAGCTCTCTCTCGCGAGTGCTCGTCCAGCACAGAGGTGTTTCGGGGTGTGCGTCGACAAATTAGCTGACGAGATCTGGCTCCTGTACCCGCGTTCCGTGTCGCCAATAAATGTTCGTGTCTACCACCGCATTGGGGGTCCCCCCCGCCGCGTTTGCGTTTTGTCGCGTGCGATTCGATGTGCGGTCGACGCTTTACGGTCTGGGTTTTTATTCGCGTTTTCCCCCCGGATGTATTGCTTAACGGTGCCGACCGATGGTGGGGGGGAGGGTGGGCGAGTAAAAACTGTCCGGGATTCGCGTGCGTGGCACGCGTCCGAAATAATTAAAGGCGTCCTTCATTTCAGGCCTCGGTCCGTCGACGCAGTCGTCGCCCACTTAACCGACCTCAAAAAAAGTGGCCAACGGCGGAAAGAAACCGTTATCCTCTTGGCCCATGTTCAAGCGGTCGCTTAGATTTTTACCCCCCTCCCCACCAGGGTGTCCCCACACCATCAATGAGTTCTATGCATGCGCATGCACGCTCCGCAACTTGCGCAACAGCTGTACTTTGCGCAGCTGTTACCAGAGAAACACGTGGCAAGGCAGCGATGTCCTCGTGAAAAAAAAAATGTAGGGTCGGCGAGTGGTGGTGTTCAAGCCTTCCTCACCAGGTGAGAGAAACCTTCGACTTCACGGCTCTCTTGCAAGAGAGACCTGGCTTCCAACACCCAAAGACATCGATAGAAGAAATAGCCAACAGACGAAACTCATATCCTATTTGCAGTGGCTTTAACCGCTTAGAACTCGCACTGCGCTGTGAACCTGGTGACCCGAGTTTGATCCCTGCCCATAGCGAACAGTGGCAGCAGTGCTGGGCTCCCACCAGACAGACATGTTTTTGTTCATGTCACCAATGTTGGCTTTCATGTTAACTAGCATGAATGCGAGTGGGGGTGCGCTATGCTACGCTACGAAGCCAGAAATCCGAGTTTGATTCCCGCACAAGGCCACCAACGCGCCAGTGACGATTATCTGAACTGGTCCTAGGCCTCCCCTAGGTCGACTCGGCCTCAAATGAGTACGTGGTGCGGTGTGTAAACATTGCCATTAGGGAGACCAAGGCAGCTGGGCGTGGTGTTGATAACCCACCCCCTCGTGTGACATGCCGGCCTTCATAGGCGCTACTCGCTAACAGCACTTTACACAACATTCCGTTCCGTTAAGGCTATACGGGTGATTTTGTCTTAAGTTGGCCAATTAATCTCGATTTGAAGCTTTCGTGACTGCAGGAATCCATACGCTGGTTCTTTCGGTGAAGTCGCGTAGTTATAAAATTTAATAAATCCCGACGTTTCGGGCGCAACACAAGCGTCCGTCATCAGGTGGGACAGCGTGGTTTGCTGCCGAGGCAGACTGTTTAAAAGGCCAATTAACTCTGAAATAATTTAACGAGCTGTTTGTCCTGGATTCTGTAATGGACTGCCTGTTTACAGGAAGAGCACCGATCTGTTAATTTGTTTTCGTGATTGTGAATCCGTTTGGGCCTTACCCTGTGTTTAATTAGTGTCGTCCAAATGCCTCCCGAACGCTGCTGTGCGTTGGACACCCACCCCCTGGTGTGCCGGTGCCGGCCTTCATGGGTGCTACTCACTAATAGCACTTGCCCCTACAAGTCTGTTCAACCATAATAGAGGGTTTTTTTGGGTTGGATCACGTAAATATATAAATGTGTCGTTAAAACCCACCACCACCCGACACAGCCAACGAGTAAGGGTTGTCACGTTAACAGAACATGCCAATTCGTCACTAGTACAGCACACCGGTGTGTTGGAGAGCCAAGCCACAACATTTACAATCCGAGTACGACGTTTCGCCAGTAATTACAACTAGCTTTATCAGGCGGCAGCCAGATTTGTGGAGAAGTCTTACGGTTTCGTTCCTTATATCGAGGCGGAGATGTGGTGAGCCATATATCGGAGGTAAAATAACCGGCGGCATGAAATAAATCAATTAAAACATTGTCCAATCAATATTAAATAAATAAAAATTCCAGTCACAAGTTGGTTCGGACAAATTAAAATTAAGTTACAGAGATGTGGTGGCAGTCGCTCCTTTGATTCATGCACGGCAGCAGCAGGAATGAATCGGTTCACAGAGTAATTCAATGATGCAGGGAGAACATCGGGGCCGTCCATAAATGACGTCACGCACCTGGGGGGGGGGGAGGGGTCAGACATGTTTGACAGGGGGGGGTGATAAATGTGACGTCACATCAAAATGCGCAACTTTAAATAAATATAGACAACACGTTCTACATAATTAAATAGACTTTTTAATCAATGTATTCTCCTACAACATCAGAGTGCAGGGCCACATTAAATACTCACTACAATGAAAATAGTTTAAAGAGATTTGAAGCATGTTTTTTTGGGGGGGGCGGCAGAGCTTTGTGACGTCATATTTGAGGGGGGTCTGACTTTTTGTGACGCTGTGTAACCAGGGAGGGGAGGGGGGGGGTCAAAAATCGTCCAAAATCGCGTGACGTCTTTGTGACGTCATATTTGAGGGGGGGGGCGGGTCTGACTTTTTGTGACGTAGGGGGGGGGGCGTAAAAAATCGTCCAAAATCGCGTGACGTCTTTGTGACGTCACATTTGGGGGGGGGTCTGACTTTTTGTGACGTCGTGTGACAAAGGGGGGGGGGGGGCGTAAAAAATCGTCCAAAATCACGTGACGTCATTTATGGACGAGTTGTATCGAGAGACTAATGAGAAGGGACTGCGTGCCTTCTAGAACACTTTAGCAGTCGTGACGTTGACGGACGAGGCTTCGCTCCACGTTGTTTAGATCATTTGCGCTGAGTCGGGTGTGTCCTCAAAGTGGATTGGATGAGAAATTAATTCTGATAATCCACGCAACTGACAACATTAATCATCGTGGAGATGGCGATTACAGATTTACATAAATTACGCGAATATGAGCGTATTGGGAATTAATTTGAGTAGCGTTGCAAAGGGTAATCTGTTTTCAGATCTTTTTCAAATAATAAAAAAATGGTACTGTAATGATAGCAAATTTATTTTTTGCACAGAAGCCTCGCTGAATCTCAAGCCTTTCCGAAGGATCTGTCTGGTACGTGGGGGGCATTTGGCCAATTCCATTAATTAGTTTTTGGCTGCGATTCTAGTCGCCACCATCGTCAGCCGTTCGATGAAAACGGCAATAAAACAGGAGTTGTGTTAAGATGCGACAACACGAAACAGAAACCCTTTGCAAGGAATCATGTCTGCATTAACCACAGGTACTTGTGGTGAGCATCATTACCCACTACTACCATCACCTCTCGCAGCAACCTCCGCCGTCAACAGTCTGAGTGTGTAAAGCGAGGTGCAAAGATTACTTGGCAGCCCTTTAATACTGGTAGGAACCCACTGGTTCCACCAGCCCGCAGGGGATTATTGTGTCCGTCCGTCCGTCGTGCAGGGAGGGGCTGGGTGGGGAGAGAGGGGTGGGGAGGGTGGAGCCGGGTGGGGAGGTGGGAGGGGTGGGGCTGGGTGGGGAGGGGCTGGTCACCTCGTGGTGCCGTTATAAAACTCAACGTTTAACCTACTCACGCCGGCTTGTACCCGCCCTCACAGTCGGGCATATTTGCGTAAATCTGTCGTGAACCCACCTCTACCCGACACAGCCAATTAGAAAGGGTTGTCACCAGTGCCGGATTAAGCTAGTGCGGGTCCTGTAGCATATGTTATAAAGGGGCCCTAAATAAATAATACAATATTTCTAAATATATATTTGCATAGTGAAGTAATTGTATTTTTCATTTGCTATACAGCCAGATAATGCGACATATCGCTAACCTTAAACACCCAGTCGTTCATAAAAGTTGAAGGCGGTATAGTAGTATGGTAATATAGTAAGTGCAGAATCATTGAACTGGAATTGATAGCTTGAAAGCATTTAGCGCGGGGCCTTGGAAGTGCGGGGCCCGTAGAAAAATGTAGCGATTTTTGATACGAGGATAATCCGACTGGTTGTCACGTGGAACAAAAGTTACCAATTAGTTACGACTTCAGCACCACCGGTGTGTTGGAGAGCAAACTCACACCAATCACAATTTGAGTCCGACGTTTCGCTGGTGTTTCCAACGAGCACCATCAGGCGATTTCCACAATTGTGTGTATTCACTCTGGCCCGAGCGCTGAGTCTACCAAGGCAGTACCTCCGATGAGGGCGGTTAGCTACGTTGCGGTTGCGAAAGAAGTTAAACATACATACAGTGGCGTGTGCATTCACAGATGATTGCTGCACGTGCAGTTCTGTGACTGTAGGTGGCAGACCGGTACCGTGTGCTGCTGGTGAATCGCATGTACGTGGTGTTTCACATGATCATCGGGACTTTGATCACAGCGTCCAATACTCGACGCATAAATCCGTCAATTAGTTTCGATTATTCAAGCTCGCCATACGCGTGTGAGACAATGGGCTATTTAAGATGTACGCAAATCATGTACAAGTGATGAGCATCTTTTTTTTATTATTATGTTTGTTTAGCCAGGAAAGTCTTGCTGAGTCTCATGGACTTTCTTTCAGGAATGTCCTGCGGGTAGATTTAGTTTCACCTCCTCCAAATGTGGGCCCCGATGCCGCTGGCACGCAATGGTCTACGCTTCCGATTGGCGTCACGCGATCTCGACTCTGCTGATGAGACGCCGAGTATCGCAACACGTCCACGATCAGTTTGCTTTGTCTTGAATCGATGCTGCTGAAATTCCGGAATCCCGGAAAGCCGTGCGTCTGTTGAGTTGCGTAATACTGGCAGTCCCCGGACTCACGAACGATTTCCGTTCCCGGAACCAGTTCGTAAGTAAAAACTGCTCGTAAGTCGGAGCACTAATTAACTTTGAATATTTTAACGGTTTTTGTCGCTGTTGTTAAGTGACAGACAGCTATGTCGTCTGCTCGTGTATGTTGTACATTTGCGATTGCACGGTTTGCACTGTAATCCCTCCGAACATGGACGAGTAACGCGCGTTCTCGGTAACAATTAAATCATACGACAGATGCCCTTTATACAACCAGGGCAACCGAATTTAGGGGCCGTCCATAAATGACGTCACGCGATTTTGGACGATTTTTGACCCCCCCCC